CGGTGGGCTTCACCCCCTTTCTTCTGGTTCTTCCCGGTTCTAGACGCCGACAGCGTCTGTGGGCCAGACGGCCAACGAAAACGGCGACGCCAGCGAAGCGGGAAGCGCCATGCCAGTCCCCGCTGGATGCCTGAGCGAGTGTTCCGCCGCGGCCCTCGCATCCTCGGCCTCGCTTGTCCCACCGCCCCCGATAAACACGCAGCAGCCCGGCGTGGTCACGTCGCTGCTGTACAGCGGTTCCAGGTTCAGAGGACACCAGAAGAGCAAAGGAAATTCCTATGACGTGGAAGTCGTGCTACAGGTAAGTTTCAGGAACAGTTATTCTAATTTTTCCGTATCGCGCTGCGCTGTCAGGGAGAAGTGCTGCTGTGTCAAAACCGCGCTGTGATGATTGACAGCCGGGAAATCAATGGGCCCGTCCCGATCTGACGCTGCTGGACTAGCTTTAAATGCATCCAAATAATGTTGCAATAAGTACTCATTAGAAACTAAAAACGCACTAAACACTTTAATTTAAATGTAATTAAAAACATTTTTTACCTGTACCCGATCGTCTTCTGCTCTGCCTGTTATTTTAATACTTGTTGTTATTCCTGATATTTTGAATGGAGCTTGAAGTTGTGATGTAAATTTAATTTAAAGCTTAGTATTTATTACCAGGACAGTGAAGACATCACTGACTTAAGATAAGAGATGTTTTAAGTAACACATGCATTTATTGTGTTGGGTTTTTTTCAGCATGTGACCATGGAGGATTCATACTTGTGTGGCTACCTGAAGATTAAGGGACTGACTGAGGTGGGGAATGTCCTTCTCAGCATTAAACCCACAGCATTAATAATTCACACTGTGTCTGGCTGCTGCTCATTGTGTCCTTCTCTGAGGCACTGCTTCAGTCTGGCAGTTTGGAAACCTTTGCAGTATTATTTGGACTGTGTCTAAACCCAGGGTAAACACAATCCACCACAGTCTTTAATTCCCTGAAGGGAACTCCCGAGGGATTAATCAGAGTTCTAGCTATCTCTCTACAACTTAAATGAATGTTGTTGGTTAAAACAAGATTTCAAATACAGAGTTTTCTCTTTGTTTTTGTGCTTTGTTTTTGGATGACAGCTTTCCATGATTACACCATTTGGTGTTGCGCTGTAGCTCTGGGTGTGACAATAACAGTTTTGGAGTGTCAGGTTTTGCCACAGGCAAAAAAACACATCATCCCTGTTTGTTTCAAAGCTGTCCTTTCTCTCTCTCTCTCTCCCTCCCTCCTTTTCTCTCTCTATTCTTTTAGGAATATCCAACTTTGACCACGTTTTTCGCTGGAGAGATCATCAGTCAGAAGCGGCCTTTCCTTACCCGGAAGTGGGATGCAGATGAAGATGTGGATTGCAAGCACTGGGTAAGATGCTGTCCTCTGTAAATAGGGTTAAATCTGGAGTTGGTTATTTGTTTCTGATATTCTTTTTTTTTTTGTACATTAATTGGTAATTGAAGGCCAAGTTCGAGGCGTTTTACCAGTACGCAAAGACATTCAATTCTGACGATTTTGATTATGAAGACCTGAAGAACTCAGACTTTATTTTTATGAGGTGGAAGGTAAGGTGCTGCCCATATAAACCATCTCCTTTGGTCATCACACATGATGTAGGGTACCACTGACCCCAACTCTGCTGCCCCTCCCCCTGCAGGAGCAGTTCCTGGTCCCCGATCACACAATCAAAGACATCAGCGGAGCGTCGTTTGCTGGATTCTACTACATCTGCTTCCAGAAATCTACAGCCACCATCGAGGGCTACTACTACCACAGGAGCTCCGAATGGTAAGACCACCTCATGACACTGGTGTGGTGAAGCCTGGGAAAGAGCTCGCTGGTTCAAATTTCAAATAATCACAGAGGTGGTTAAAAGCTGAAAGTGTCTTCATGATTAGATTATTATTTTAATTTTAAGAAATAATTGGGTTTTTTTTTCTTAATCCTATATGCTCTAACTCACTTTTTGTTGTTTCTTTACAGGTACCAGTCTCTAAACCTCACCCACGTTCCTGAGCACAGTGCGTCCATCTACGAGTTCCGGTGACCCCGGTCGACCTCCTGGATTTCTCTTTTTTTCCCATTTCTGTTCCTCTTTTTTCTTTTCTCTTTTTTGGACAAATACTTCTTTGAGGCAGAGTTTCTGCAGAGGTTACTGAGGATGAAGAGAGAGAAAAACTGAGGAGGATATGTTGAAACCAACAGCTGATAAAGGAGTGAAGAGGACTGGACACATGAATGTATGGATGAAGAAAGGTCAGTTCTGCTCCCTGGCTGGAGCCTGTAAACCAGCAGCAGCAGCAGAGACTGGGACTAGGTCTGGGTCTGGGTCCAACCTCCAATCCACTTCTCAATGTGTTTTTCCCATCTGGTTAAAAAGAAAAAAAAAAGCTCAGAAAGTCATCTGGATGACACTTTAAACCATCAGCCTAATGATTTGTGCAACCAGCTTTCATCCAGCCCACGTGGAATGGGACACATTTCTTTTAACTGGACAACGATTCCTATGAGGAGTCTGCGTTGCAGAGTGGAGTTTTTCTGGATTACAGATTACCCCTGGAGTTTTAATCTGCTTCCTTGATCACATCTAACAGTATTGTTTTTTTTAAAGCTAAGCTGACTCTTTTTTGCCTGCCAACAGGATGATGATTATGATGATGATGATGATGATGATGGACACAGAGTGACATCATTTATTTTTATTTTGAAAGTCTGGATTGTTGAGTGACACAGAAATAAGCTTTCTTCTGTCTTTATAAGTAAAACGTTTGGAAAGTTCTCATTATTACACCAGAGTGCTGTGGATTCTGAACTGTGTAATGTTTTTGCACAAAATAATGCTTGCAAGTCAGGATTTTACACACACACACACACGAGTTCAGGGGTGAAAATGAAACTTTGACATGTTTTTAAGGATGTGGAGCCAAAAAAAAGAAAAAAAGAAAGAAAAGTATTTTCTAATGCAATACACCCAGAGCTTTCCCCTTCCAGCGTGTACTTTATAAATTATTACCCCCACCCCTTCCACAACTCCTCAACTATGCAACACTATGGACATGGCACGCTTCCACCATAATAAAACCTTCAGTTTTCACAGAGAAAGAAAAGTTTAATTCTATCCTTATAAATAAGAGAATATATGTTAAAACAGAGAGAGGAATGAACCTATGCTATGTTGACTGATGACAAAGGTATTTTTGTGAAAAGCTCACGACTCTCCGGCCCCCACCCTCCATTTCCCTGTGATGGTGCCATCTTTTTAAACATCAGAGTTGTGTATTAAGCAGATCACGTGTGTTTGTTTTGAGAATAAGACCCCAGGTTTGGTCAAATGAGTGACTGTAAAGAAATTGATTTAAAAGAAAATTACACAGAAAAAAAACTGGTCCTGTGTTTCTTCATGTGTGGTCAACATCTCACATTTACACCAGAAATAATTTCAACTCAAACATGTACATTTATTACCCAATGTACATATTCAAGCCGAAACCTCTTACTTCCTGCACCAAACCCCATAGAGAATATAGTCGATTTAAACCCAGCAGAAGACAAAACCGGCATTACTATGCTGCAAGTTTGTCCACTAGAGGGCACAGTTGAGCCTTGCAGTAGGAGCACACCAAGATTGACTTAACTTAAATACTAAACTTTAAACTTAAACTTATCTTTATTTGTCATTGTGACACAGCACAGCACACCATGCACAACGAAATTTAACCTCTGCATTTAACCCATCACCAAGTGAACAGTGGGCAGCCGTGGTCAGCGCCCGGGGAACAGTGCTTGAGGACGATGCCATGCTCAGTGCATCTCAGTGGTAACCTGGCAGTTGGTGGATTCGAACCTTCGAACCGAATCCTTTACCACTAGGCCACCACTGCCCCCAAATATGTTAAGATACTGACGTTTTAACTGCTGCACATCATTTGTTTGTGTTTTTTGATGTGCCTTGCACCAGAGACTCAATTTTGAATATAAAATTAAATATGTATAATGTATTGGTGATTAGTATTAATGTTGCAAACTCATCTTTGTGTGACAAATATTTAAAAAAAAAATCAAACCAAATGATATTTTATATTTCATATAAAATATTTTTAAACAAATTAGAGACAAGTCAATAATAAAGGACCTAAAACTTGTGTTTTTGTTTTAAGTGTATGAATTATAATGTTAACAACCCCAGTAAATTTAGTTTAGTGTTAATAAATGTTAAATTGCTATCAAAATGTGAGTGATTTGAACATGCCATAGCTGTTGGATCACATGTGTAATCGGATAACTGCAAAAAGTAATTTGACTTAAACAACAAAAGGCACATCAATGTAGTCTGGGGCAGAGTGCTGGTTTTCAGAAAGGGCTGTGTTGTTCAGGTCAACTTTATGCTAGGTGGTTGGCCTGGGTGCCAACTTGCCAGATCTCCTTAGCCTCTGGGCTTGTACTGCTGGCCGCACATTATCACAAATATTCACTAGTTATAGCTTTAATATTTATAGAAATCGGTTAAAATTATCCCTGTATCAATGTATAGTATACTAAAAACCTTTAGCAACATTAAAACGCAATGGCCTGAGTTGTATTGCCTTTTTATCAAGAAAATAATAAGCATGCATTGTTAGGTGCATCGGGCATATGTCCAAATATGGACACTCCCGTCTTCAGGTGAACCGGGCGTATGATCAAATATGGTGCCTGCATTTCTCATGCCGTAATTTCACTAATTTCCACAAGTCCTTCACAAACCACACACGTCATCACTAAGCACAACTATTCAACTATAAAATGTGCGAGTTTCATCAACTTACCATAGTTAGTTTAGAAGTTTTGTACAGAAATGTACGGCGAGTTGGGCTTTTGAGCGTCTTTTTCCAGCTTCAGTGGAGTGAGAAAATTAGATGCGCTCCAGATCTCTGCTGATTGGTCAAATGCCACAGCCATGTGATCTGTGACGTGAGGTGATCTCTTCTGAATGGCTGAGTGAGGACCGCATGGTTTTTGACCAGTGACGTGCGGTGAGGTTCATGGCTGCTGAGGCACTAACTCTTCCGGAGTCAGATTTACAATTGTAAGAAACGAAAAGAGCATCTTATTTCACTATTGATCCAACAGCGTCACCTGGTAATGGTTCATATCCACCAACATTCCTCTTTCAATGACACTGACACCAACACATACACAGAAAAATATTTGTTCTACAAAGAACGTTTATTTTATACAAATGCCCCCTTCTTGTGTCTAAGAAATTCATATTTACTGTAAACAAATAGAAAAGTATAGAGATGAGTGCAGCACAAATTTAATTTTGACCTTCAGTAAAAATGTCAGTTTTAAATTCTGCTGCTTTAATCAAAGGTTGTCCATCAATATGAAAAGGAAAAACTTAAAAACCATTTTTAGCCTTACCTTTACTCATAGATGAAGTCCACCGTTGTATCTCTCGGGTTTCCCTCACCTTAGCATTGTTTCCGTTGCTCATCCAATGTCAAATCGATCCTTGAATTTCCAAAAGTTTTTAAAGAACTCTGGCTCTGTCACAGTATCCTGAGTTAGTCCAGACGTTGTCACACGATGAGAATAACAGACAAGGACAGCAGTAATGGCGGTTTCTTACAGGACAGCCACACAGCCAGTCTTCTCGTTTGTACCACTCCATTCAAAAAGAACGACTAATCTGTCCCGTAGTTTGAAGCTAACCTTTTAGCTCCGGCGTTGGTCTTCCATCACTTATCACCTTCTGTTTGGACCGGAAGTCCAGTTTTGAGAAATGTTTCCGTCTTGAAATACAATCCACAGTGAGTCGGATCAGACAGGGCATAACAAACGCTGTTCTTCACCTACTACCGGCTCTAGCTTAGCGCCGACTTTAAATTGCCTGTTGACGTCAGCTGGAGAACACCTGTTAGTTCACGTACGACCCCTTGTGGTGAGGCAGAGTACTGTTTGCTTCCCCAGCTGACTTTTCTCTGCACTTTATTGGCTGGAACAGAAACGGGCCCGCGTCATGTGTATTGGATCGCTGATACACACAACTGTAAAGAAATGACAATCACTTTTTATTACCAATGAACTCTTCATGTAGTCCTGACAGAAAATAACAAGACAAAAACAGCAGAAGTTTAGCCCGAGGCCAACAGCAGAGAGCATAGTTTCTCCTGAACAGGAAACAGGGAGGCTAAGGTCATGTCCACACTAATCCTGGACGTCGGTTACATAAAATAATCTAATCAAAACGAGCTTTTGTATTTCATCACAATTCAAATACATTTTGTTGGACATGTTTGATTCACTCTGAACCCTGTTATCTGTACCAACACAGTTTATCGCCCCACAACCTGGATACCAAATATGGGGTACCAGGCCCATTTATGGTACATTAACTTGCTTTAAGTGTGGCTAAGATTTGGCCCAATTTCTAGATATTCTAAACAGATATCTCACACAACCCACACACGTTTACTCTAACTAGCCCACAATAGTAATAAAAACTACTTTTTTACCACTTTTGATGATGAAAGGTGTTTCACCATCCCAAATGGCCTTTTCCAGCAGAAATGAATGAAGTGTGTCTGACCCACATAGGGTCACAAAATGGGGGGAGAGGAGGGAGGGGGTAAAAGTACAGTGGAACCTCGAGATACGAGCATAATCCGTTCCAGGACCGAGCTGATAACTCGAGGTGCTCGAGTTCTAATTACAATGGAAAAATGTGTTTTTAACTGCTATATTGACACACACACACAAAAAAATTATAGTATATAAGGATTCCTGTGATATAAAATAAAATGTGGTTTTAATTATGAGTTCTTCGAGGGGAGAAGAGAGTTGGCCGGTATGTAGACACTTGATTCCGTACCATACCTTACATGTACACCATGAAACATAAACTTAGAATTAACTTACGTATTTTTTTTAATTTTCCATTTTTATTATTATTTTTTTGCTTTTTTCAATTTGTATTCTTTCTTTAGTGGGCACCACGCTCATATTCATCGACAATTTCATGCTTGTATTTCTATGATCATCTCTACCATCCTTACCACTCACTCTCTTAGGACTCATCACTATTATGAAGAATAATGCTCAAAATAGAGGACACAGAAGTCGACAAACACGTGACGTGAACAAGGTTTGCTTGTATCTCGAGGTTCGACTGTAAATGTTATTCTATTTTTATAGTTATATCAGCTAAAGTAAAATGAAACCCATTGTGTTTCTTCCCCAGGAGTGTTGACCTAGTTTTGGTCTGATTCATGATATTAAAATGAGATACAGAAAACAAAGGAGGAGATTATGTGTGGTATGAGTTAAAGCCTTTAGTAACTGAACTTATCACCTACTGTAAATAGCACAGTTTCACAAACCTCTGTTAAGAATAGGTGGTGAGTCAACACGCAACGAGGAAGAAGAGCGATGAGGGTGTAAAGCTGCCAACACCGTTCACTAATGCCAAGTCACGTAGACGTTTTTCTGAGGAGATTTAGGTAGATCATTTTAAGAATCCAGATTTGGGATTGTTAGGTGTTAGAACACAATAAAGCTGCCTGCCCCCCAACTCCCTCTCAACTAACTAATAATTATGCCTGACATCCGACGTCAGCTCCAATAATATATTAATGACATGACAACCATGCGTCCTAACATCAGTCCCACCATCGGTACCACACTGAAGGCACACCTGTCCATATACTTCCCAGAAAGGATGCACATGTGGGCCACTGGGGTGGACTTTGTGGACTAGACAAAAATTGCGAGCTGAATGTGAGCTATTTGTAGGACAGCAAATGTAGCCCACATGTTGTTTTAGTTGTTCACGTGGTCCATTCATGGCCAACACAGACTGGGCCGCTCTAATTGTATAAAAGAATCTAAGTAGTTAATCCTGAATTCCAGTCCAGGTCAATCTGTAAACATCCAGCCCAGTGTTGGATTGCAGTTACAGAACGACTGCATGGAGCTATTCTGAAAATAATTTGCCTCCTGTGTCTGCTGTGACACTTCTGTGAAGACCTGGAACAGGACTTACAATAAACAATAGAAACAAGTGGAGTTTCCTGCTGTCTTTACTGTAGAACCTGTTCATTCATGAGCTGTGCCTGTGTCTAATGAGCAACACACTTCTCGGATTCAACCTCAACTTCTGTGTACGTGCAGGATGTGAAAAGATAAAAAAAAAAAAAAAGTGGATTGTGAAAAACACATAGGTAGAAGCCCAGTTTTGTGGACCATGTGGGCAGTATGAGTTGGTGCACTCTCTACATTTTCATATTCATAAATGATCAGCTCCGTGGTCCAACTCTGCCGTCTGCTGAGTTCCTTTAGACTAACATTTTCATCCACTTATCTGTTACCAGGTCGCAGAGGCAGCAGTCTTCATGACCACCACCCAAATCACACTGCACCGTACCAGCCCCCCCTGAACCTTCCTGCGGGTGGTGAGTCCACTGGAAGGTACCAACCGCCCTAAAGATGCTGCACATTTAGTTCATTACTAGCTATATCTGTATATATTTCTTTAATTAGCTGACATTTAGCACAAAGATAACATCAAGTCCACTATAAGTTCCAAATGATATTTTAAAGTTTCAACAGATAGAGCTAGTAATGAACTAAATGTGCAGCACAACGCAGACAATAAAGACAATTTTTGATAAATTAGCTACATTTTCTACTTGAAGATAGCATGGCAAAAGGCTGGAACTAATTATAAGACAGCTAGAAGATAGAAGTACAGCTAATTTTATTTTATTTTGGAGACTATACTGTAACACCAGTACAATGTGTTAAACTCCAGTACTGGTTAGTTTGGTAACATCCTACAGAGTAGGTCACAGGTGAATAGACAATCAGAAGATGAAGCAGAGTAACAGAGTGATTTCCTATCTGATGAGACGAGGAAACATTTCTTAAATGTTTCAGAGATACTGTAAACGTAGTTACATGACTGGTTGACTGGTTGGCAGGCTAGCAGTGGTGAGGCTCCAAGTAGATCATTGTAAAACCAAGTCAGCTCTCTCAGGCCTTAGGGAAGTTATTTTCTCCTTCGAAAAACCTTGACGTCTGGAGGTGTGGACGTGCATGGAGAAGAGTCCACAGAGACATCATCACAGGCCTGGAGGACAGGACAGAGACCACATTTGTTGTTGTAGTTTTTTAAGCCATTAGGTATTTTTGATACATTTTAACAATTTAACAATTTCCCTGAAGTTCTAGATAATCATCTACAATTAAACTTCAACCATCATCAATTTCTTTCTAATAATTGTTATTTAAGTTTTTTTCTCTGTGCCTTGTTGTCCTAATTTCAAACTTTTGACACTGGACATTCATACTTCAGGAGACTGGTTGGACAGTCAGACGCTCAGTTCACATTTTTGGGATTTCAGAGACTGATTAGGTATTTTATTTAAGTTAATCACAGCCTGGCAGTAATTGCTGAAAATAATTTACCTTAATTTACTGTGACACACTTTTTTATTTATTCACTGATT